GATGAACATGTACGCCAGCGTGTTCTTCCTCACCGCCATGAGCATCACCCGGTATTGGTCGGTGGCGTCCGCGCTGAAGGACCGGACCCGGCGGCGGGTGTGTCCGGTGCGCTGGGTGATCGCGGGGCTCTGGGTGTCCGCCACGGTGGCCTCTCTGCCCACCGCGATCTTCTCCACGGTGAAGAGCGTGGCCGGGGAGCGGCTGTGCCTGCTGGGCTTCCCGGACGGACAGTCCTGGCTGGCGCTGTACCACCTCCAGAAGATCCTGGTGGCCTTCGTGTTCCCGATGCTGATCGTCACCGTGTGCTACCTGCTGCTGCTGCGCTTCGTCCGCCTGCGCAGCATGAACAACAACCAGGTGAAGCGCCGGTCCCGGGTCACCCGCTCCGTCACCATCGTCGTCCTCTCCTTCTTCATCTGCTGGATGCCCAACCACGCCATCACCTTCTGGGGCGTCCTGGTCAAGTTCAACGTGGTGAACTGGGACAAGACGTACTACATGGTGCACACGTACGTCCACCCGGTGACCGTGTGCCTGGCGCACACCAACAGCTGCCTGAACCCGGTGCTGTACTGCCTCATGCGCCGCGAGTTCAGGAAGAAGATGAAGGATCTGTTCTGGAGGATTTCCTCGCCCACAGGGACGAACTCGTGCCCCCTGCGGCCGTTCTCCGGGACCGTGAGAGCGGAACCGGACGACTCGCACATCGTGATCCCGCTCAACAACGTGGAGACGGAGAACTGCAGACTGTCGGTTCTGACGGACCAGTGCGAAACGGACGCGCTGCAGAAGTAGACTGATCCGGGACCTGGTTCCTCTCAGTCCGCCTCACCATGAACTTCTTTAGACTTCAGGCGCTGCTGGAGGTTGTTTGAGCTTCTGTGCCAGAACCCACCGCCTGGTGAAAGAACCACACAGAACCGGGTCTCAGCTGTGTGTGGCATTATTAAATGTTTTTGACTCTGCATCAAATGGATTTTATACATTTTATCACAGTTTAAAGATGTGAAACATAAAAGGAGAAAAATAACAATCGCGCGTAAATTACGCACCGGTGCGTAAAACCATCCGGTGCGTTCCTGCTTCAGTCCGACTGGGATCTGTCACCCTGCGCTGCTCATCGTGTTGTTTTCTCTCTTTACTATAAATGGAGTTCGAGCTCAGTGTCTCATCCAGTGCTGCTTCCCGCTCTGAAGAGCTGTCCGTGCGCAGGGACTTCATTCTGTGGAGTATTATTGACGTTTGTTGTGGCTGATGTGTAAAATGTCCACGCTTTGAGTAAGTGAATGTAAAAAAAATAAGAAAGGAAAACCTGCCAATGCAACCTTAAGAACGATGTATGGAGAATAAAATGATTTGGTTTGTGTTCAGTGTGGGTTGTGCAGCTGATTGTTTGCCTGTGGAGCAACTAGAGTTTATTCTCAGAAAGGTAAAATCGGTTTAATTTGACATTTTAAAGGTTTAAGAGTCTGACTGTAAAGTATTCAGGGGCGGATCTACAGGAACATCCACAAGAATTTAATCACAATATATTTAAATATATAAATATTCAAAGTGAAGATATTGGAACTCACCTGTGTTGTATTGTGGCACATTAGTAAAGCACTGCAGGTGTTAGGATTATCTTATTGTTTTATTTCCAAATAAATGTCTTTTTTCAGTGAATTTAAAGCTACTTAATAAAATGTATGTAATTTAATAACAAATGAAGTCACTTTTCAAGCAAAAAATAGGAAACATGAACTGATTAAATGTGCTGCTTTTCTTTTAATTTGAAGGTCTCGACTTTGTTTTTTTTTACTTTTTTTATTTATGGACCAAACGAATACTTTAAAATATTTAGTTTTTGTTATATTATTTAGTCTCTTCGGGATTTCACAGGCTTTTTTATTGGGATTGTTTTACCCTAAAATGTGTCATTTCACACCAGTTTTTTTTTTTCACAGTTTTTTTTTTTTTTAAATTACGATGTTTTTAGGCTTTTTTTTGCACCAAAGAAGCAAAAGTCGTGGAAATAATTCAGATTTTTTAAAATAATTCATTAAAAATGAAAGACTGTTTCCAGTAAGAATAATCTCTCTAATAGTTTGGTGAAACTTCAACGATTTGTCAAATTTATGGAAAGTTGCAGAATTTCACTACTAAAAGCGTTTCATGATGTTTTCCAATTATTGTAACTTAATTAAAGGTTGATTCTTTACATTAATATAAATATTTATAGCCCTGGACCCTGATTGGTTGACAGCAGCCGGCTGATTGCACAGAGTGACCACAGGGGGGCAGAAATACGTGTTATCAATATAACGTCTGTTTTTATTGAATTTAAAGCCGAACAATGAGTCTAAAATGTGGAACAGATCATTAAATTATACGTGTTAATCTCTGAAGTTAACAATGAAATAAATTCACTTTTCAAGCAGAAACAGGAAACATGAACCGATTAAAACAATAAATTTATTAACCGCAAATGTTTGTCAGTTTTTACTTTTATTATTAAGTCCCTCCAGGATTTCAATGGCTTTTTGGGGGATTATTTTACCCTAAAATGTCTGATTTCACTGCAGCTTTTCTAAAAAGTTGTGATATTGAAGATAGTTCAAAGAGACACATATATATAAAGTCACATCATAACTAGCTAACTAAACCACATCAACTGTCGGCTAGCTAGTTACATCTGAAAGCTAAAAATCAGATTTTTAATGATCAGAAAGACTTGCTAATATTAAATTGTTGTTATTTTAGTGCAGCGACGACTATTGAGGACATTAATATCCTCAGTATTTATATGTGGAGGTTTTATTATACAAATACACACATTTATATATTTAAACTACTTTTTAAACAGACAGTATTTATTATTTCAGGCAAATGCTGTGAATAACATATTCAGACCTTCATGTTGGAAAACTTTAAAGATATTATGAACTCAATTAAATCACCTACAGTAAAATGGGGATTCTATGGATGTGAGTTGGACTCATAATCTTGATATTAATGTAAAAACATCAGGTACAGTGTTCATATAATGAGTCTTAATAAAAGTAAGGATAATATTTAATGTTTATCATCAGACCTCATACAGACCTTGTTTCACCTTTCAGTGTTTATATCCTTTGCAGAAATGAAGGCATCCATTAAATCAGCAATCAGCTTTATATCGACAGTGAAAGTGAAACAATATTAAGACATTGGACCGTTCCAGCCTTCCTTTGATCTATCGATGCAAATTGTATTTTAATTGGAAACTGTGAGTCGGGCAGAGTTTGAAAGATCTTAAATA